CCTTTCCCCCCCCCTTTTTCCCCTTTTTTTCCAAAGAGGCAGTAGCTGAGTCATGAGAGTAATGGTCTGTTCAGTACTCTTGAGAATCAAGGCATTCTAGGGCTTCTGTTGCTTTACCTGTGAGCACTTCAAGGAGCATAAAAATAAACTCGTATCTCGGTGCTTAAATGCCTTTAAGAATTAGAGTCCAAAGTGCGACAGCAGAGCTGTGACTAAGGCACATAAAAACAACACAGAAAGCCTGGTAGAGAAAACGAAATGCCTATCAGCTCAAAAGGCTAGAGAAGGTGAAACTTGTCCTTTTAAATACTCAGAATTCTTTGGGTGATAAAGCGTTACTTCTGCTAAACAGAGGAGTTTTGCAGCATCTGCCATTTGGACAATTTTGATTGTATTGTTTATCACATCTTGAACAGGGACATCTGAAGTTCGCTGGCTGGGTGGAGCTGGTTTTGTGGAACCAATAGTTTGTTTATGTATTTAGCCAGAAAAGAAAGGCAGGATGTGCAGTTGCCATCAAGTTCCACGTCAAAGGCCTGCACACCCACAGTACTCAAGTTAATTCAAACATCCCAAATGTCGTTGCAGTAGTCTTACTAATGTTATTGCCATTCCAGCTTCTTCATAATGAAAATAGCAAATACAAAGACAATTCCCTTTTCTGGGTGCTCGTCCTCTTTCTGATCTTTCTGTGTTTTCTGCAGACCTGCTGCCTTTGTACAATATTGCTGATGGACCAAAAAGTGGATGTGAAGAAAGAAGCAAGAAACTAGAGCTGGCAGAAAGTGAGACTGTGAAGGCAGAAATGGATGTACAAGATAACAAAGAGGAAGCCAAAGAGCAGAAGGCCAAAAAACAGAGGCTAAAATCAATCTTTGGTGTGGCAGACTTAAAAAATGGTAACCTCTCACATTTTGTTTCTAATGCCTGCTGTTCCATTCTCTTTGCTTAGGCTTCATTTTCTCCTTTGTATCTTTGCTGAGGAAAATACAGACAATTCTCATTTTGTCCTGCCAAGTAAACATTTTGCTTTTGGGGAACAGATTACGTGAGGATCTCAGAGCTTTTTCCCCTTTTAAGTCCTCAAGTTGGCCATTGCAGCCAAAAAGGTCTAGATGCTAGCCCTGTCTCTTTCCAAACACAGCCAGCAATGCTTCTGGATTTGCTAAACCATGGGCCAGGCCCTGGTTTTAGTCCTTCATCACTAGATTGGCCTCTCTAAAGGTGTCATCAGCATTTCAGGTGTACTTATTGCTCCATCCCATCTGTATCCCACCTTTACCAATGGTTGTATGCATTTCATTTGTTTTCAGTTTCTGTTCCATTTCCTATCTCTCTTTGGTGATGTCTTCAGAAGAAAAACTTCTAATTTCTGACCACAACTACTTATATCCCTTTGGGCCACAGAATATGCAAATGCAGCGTGAACAGCTGTAACTTGCCTTTTCCACTTTTCAGGCTAGTTCCTTTCTTTGAAACTGAGTCAAAGAACAGTATAAGTAGGCTGAAGGGGAAACTTAAAGCCTGTGTGGTAGGCAGCTAACATGTGGTCCCATGTATAGCTTTTCATTGTGTTATTAGGCCTGGAAAAGGCAGAATAAAAATCCTCATACAGGAAGCCTTTGACTTCTGTTTTTTAAAAATTTATTTAATGTTTAGATGTGTTATGAGAGGAATGGAAATAGAGGAACTGGGAGACATCTGAGTATCATAATCCAGACTTACTTGGATTTTTCCTGTCAGTTGGGAAAAAAAATAATAAAAAATCTCTGCTTGAGGAACATAAGAATAGATTGAACACTTTCTTACACCTGGCCTAGTGTCACAGTTTGACTCAGGTCCGACAACAATGCTCTCGATCCCCTCCCCCCCCCACCCAGGTAGGGAAGGAGAGAGAAAAAGAGAGACTTGGCTGGATTGAAAACTAAACTGCACAGCTTTAATTAAAACACTAATGAATGATACAAGAAAATATATACAATTATATACAGATATATTCAGGAATGGGCAAAAACCTCTCGCCTCCCCCCACCCCAGCAACTCCCACAGCACTTCCCTGAACTGGGAAGAGTCCCGAAGAATCCCGGAGCTGCTGCTGCTGGAAAAGAGCAGAGAGTTATGGGGGTCAGGAGAGCTCGAGCTTAAGGGTCAACGGTGATGGATGAACAGAGTCCTCCCTGGACACCGGCCATGGACGGAAGAGAAGGGGAGAAGAAGAAGGAAGGAAGTTGTCTTCTGTGATCTCTGACCTTCCTCTGAGCTTACGTAGATATATGGAATGGAATATCTTTGGCCAATTTTGCTGTCCGTCTAACTCAGCCTCCTACGGGGGGGTCACAGATCTCCCCATAGTGTCTGAGCCGGCAGAATGCAGGTGCAGCCTTGAAGCCTCAGTAGTTAGAAAAACATTCCACTGTCTTATCAGCCTAGTAGAACACACTGTTGCTAGTCACAAGAAAGCTTACTGAAGGAAAAAAAAAAATCAGTAAAAAGAAAAATTGGCTTCATCCTGGCTCAAACCAGGACACCTAGATGCCACATTTATGCACAGAATGGCTGAATATATGCAAGAGGAGTTTCCCACTTCCAAATAATTTTTACTTTTCTTATATACTTTAATATAACTTTTACTTTTCCTATACCTATCTTCAGGTGTTAATTCCTCTTTTTCTGTGCCTACAGGAGCCATTGGACTGTACAATGTTGCACAGAGCTGCTGTCTGAACTCCGTGCTCCAAGTGTTCCTCATGAATATACACTTCACAAGAATACTTCGAAGGTACCACCTGAGATGCTTCTATTGTTGCTCTGTTGTTTTCATTTTTTTTTTTAATGGGATATACGTTTGAAGGCTTGGGTCATCAAAGTGCTAGCAATGTGCTTTCAGTTCACTCAGCAAGTTCTCTCTGCCTTGTGCCTTTCACATACAGACTGGGGCCTGGAAAAGTAGAAGTTGCAGTTTTCTGACTTGTTAGTCACCTCTGATTCATGTTCTAGTTGCAACCCTGAATACTGAGTCTTTATGATGTGCATCTGTCTTTTCCATAACAGGATTTAGTTTACGGTATGCTTCTAGCCCGTTATAACTAAAAGATGTACTGTGTGTAACCATAGTCACTATTAATTTTGTAACTTTAGGCATGTGCTCATAAACATACCAGTGATCCATAGCCTCTGGCCTGCTGTTGTCCTGGCTAACACCTGATAGAGAAGAGTATATGTTGTTGCAGATAGCAAATATGTAGTGTTACTTTGTTATGTGTGACTGTGCTGTCTCCTTTTTTGTGAGGAGGCTTTGGGCTTCTGCCTCTCTACCAACTGCAGTAAAAACTGGTTTAATTTATTTTCAGTTTGCTCAGTTCACTGCAGCTTTAATCATCTAAGTGCATGTCTTTGAATCATAGAATCATTAAGGTTGGGACCTTACAGATCATCTAGTTACAACCCTTCTGCCGTGAGCAGGGAGCCCTACCACTAGAATAGGTTGCACAAAACCTTGTCCAACCTGCCCTTAAAAACCTCCTTTCTCCAAATTCCTTATACAGTCATCATTGTGCAGGGAGGGAAGAAGGCAAGTTACTGGCATGCAGAGATGAGAAGTGTGATAAATGGGCAAAGGTAAATAAAGTAGACAGTATGTTACCATTGTTATTTGAAGAAAGACTTTGAAAAACCTGTCAACTGCAATGAATTTAGGGAGGATAAAGAGCTTTTCAGTTGGCATATAGCTGAAATACAAGCATTATGATATTCATGCCCATGGAATTTTGAGGGTTTGTTGAGAATGAAGACGCGAAAAGGTAGGAGGCAAGAACAGGTCTGAAACTTGCTGTAAGTAGTGGTCTTTCTATAGCACTTTCAACAATAACTTCAGGATCTGCTCAGCTTGGCCCTTATTCAGGAACAGGCCATCTTAAAAATTGTGGCTTTTTACTTTAAAACTGTCAGCCTACATTGTGGGATGAGCTAGTGCAGGTGTCTGCTTCCCCTTTTTCCTTCTTTTGCTAAAAACATGCCCGTTCTGGTTCCTCTTAAGTTGCTATCTGTGCTCTCCACCTCTACTTCTTCAGGTGTCATGTCTTATTACTCTTGATTACAATTCATGTTGCTTCTCCTCCTTATAGGATCAGAGTGCCACCATGTGCTGCGCAGAAGAGGAATGTCCCGTACCAAATGCTCCTGCTGTTGGAGAAGATGCAGCGTGGAAAGCAGAAAGCTGTTTCTCCCATAGACGTTGTTTCCTGTCTTTCAGCATACAAAGTAAAATGTAAGCATGGCTGCCTCATGCTGACCTGTGTCTGCAGGCCAGGGATGTAAATTATCAAGCACTAGTAAGCTGTGCAGACTCTGACATCTCATTCAGAGATTCAGAACTGTGAGGTACTGGATAAGGCAGTGCTCTTAATAGCTGCCCTCAGTTGTGAGTGAGATGCTGTCTCACTTGTTAAGAGGGGAAAAAAAGCCCCTGCTGGATATCCTTTCTCATGTTCAAAGGGTGGGAAGACTGTCAGACTGCTGGTGGACTCATCTTCTGCTGCTGGCCAGAGAGAGGATGGGATACTGGGGTTCTGTTCATGTATAAAAATAAACACAGTATTTCCAAATGTCCTGATCTTTATACTATAAAAGCCAAAACAGGACAGCACTGAAAGGCATAAATGGTAGCCAGCCTAGACCTATATTAAGGAGGAATGCAAGATGACTTGAAATGTCAGGATTTTGCTAAACCGTGTGTAGTTTTTGCCCAGTTCCTAAATCTTGAGTTCATTGTGGTTTGAGAACATCAGTTCTTTGTGTTCAAGGACATGGATTTCCAACATATCCTCCCTACCCCCCAAGTTCAATCTTGAAGCAATTCTCTGCTGAGCCATTATAGCAAGCTGTGCATAGAGCTGTATCCCACCATCTCAAGTTTCTTAATCTACCAGTTTAGCCAGAGTGGAAAGCCAAAGCATAATGTTACTACATCATCTTCAGCTTCCTGTGCTGAAACTGTGTGCTTATTCCTTGGGTGGGGATCAAAGTTTATACCATTCTGTGGATGAGACATATGGATAGGCTCCCTATCATTTTTCTCTCAGCACTCAGGAGTGTTACAGCCTTGGGGAGGGAATGGGGGAGACAAGGCTGTGGAGCAGTGAAGGTGAAAAAGAGTACTCTGTATTGTTTCTAGGAAGTCCTTAAATAAATGCAGCCCTCAAGTCAATATGATATCTGAGCCCTGTTCTCCACTGGGTATTGGGTATACTCTTGGTCCTGCTCTGGTGACAAGGCCATGACTTCTGCACTGGGTTGTACAATGGGGCATTCAGACCCTCCAGTCTTTTCCCACTGCTTGCTCAGGTCACATAGAGACATGCAGCTCATCTCCAGCCTGAGCTCTGTCCCTGTAGGGAGTGGCAAGGGAGCAAGAGATTGGATCTAATGGGGGACAATAAATCTCCCTTTGCCATTTGTGGGAAATCAGTGCTTAGTGCTGTTCATTATACTGATTGAGGCTGTGTCTTCTGTTTGTCCAGTGTTTGTGCAGCATGATGCTGCCCATCTCTTTCTGACTATCTGGAACTTGCTAAAGAGGCAGATGGAAGAGCCAGAGCTGGTAAGGACAGTCAACTGAACTGAACAGCAGACCCTTATCCTGTGTGTGGTTTCCTCTGCTTCTTGAATAATCCCATTCATTGACAAATGTCCTAAATTAAATTCTTAAAACTATCCCCTATTTGAATTTTTCCTCTCATTTTTTGAATCAAAGAGGAAATCTTGATTTCTTAGGTGTCAGCATTTCAAAACAGTTCACTTTTGTTCCTCCTACTTTTAGGGCATGCTAGGGTCTCTGTTCTAATAGGAGAGTTCACAGAATCATTCTGATTGGGAAACGCCTTTAAGATCACCAAGAGCTCATCAATAACAATTGGTTGTCTTCCAACACTGAATTTAGCTACTTTGCATTTCTTTTTTTCCACAAATTTCCTTAAGCATTTAATGACACGTCTTGACACAGTTCCTCCATTCTTTGAAGTCAGATGTATGCATTTCATTGTAACTAGTCACTGTTAGTATACTGTGTGTATGATAGTTCCTCGTGGGGAGGAAGGTAAGAGAAAAGTGACTCTTCCTCACCCAGTGTCATAGTCATACAGAAGGCAGGCTCCTGTTGCAGTTCCAAACAAAACAATAACATTTGGCATCAAAACAGACATTTAACTGTCTGATCTTGTCATAGACTGTCTTTTCCCTCTGTTGGGGGATGAGGGGAAGGAGTTGTTCTCCTTTAAATGGTTGTTCTGGTTTGGTTTGATGGGTTTTTTGGTAGTGGGGGAAGGGCCACAGGAGTGGCTCTGGTAAGAAGCTGAGAAGCTCCCCCTGCTCCAAAACCAGCCAAGGAGCCATTAGAGGGACAACAGATGCACCTCTGTCATTAACATATGAAAGAATTGCAATAACACTTGACCAGAGAAGGACTTGAGGGAAAAGAGCTGTGCTAGAGGGAGAAGAGCTGGTGCAGGAGGATGAGAGAAGAGAGCAGTGCTGGTGGCTGGTGAGGAAGGAGGGGAAGAAGGTGCCCTAGAAGTTGCCCTGCAACCCAAGGTGAGATGGTAGCTGTGACACTGCCCTCATGGAGGAACCTGGTGGAACATTCCCTGAAAGTGCCAGGAGGGGTGAACTTGGCCAGTGAACTTGGATTTTGTGGCCAGTGGATTTTGCTGCCCCTGGACTCTGATTATGCAGCTTTGGAAGACCCTGGCACCAGGGCTTTCCCATGGGAAAGCAGGGAAGGACTGTAAGGAATCCTTCTTCCTGAGGAGAATGGCGGGCAAGAACCACCCCCAGCCCATGAACTGACCCTAAACCCCATCCCCTGTTCCCCTCTGCTGCTGGGGGGAAGGAGGGAGAGAAACCAGGAACAAAGTGATTTGGGCCTGGGAAGAAGGGAGGGGTGGGGGTAACCTACATGAGCCCTGCTCTTTGTGTGTCCTGTGTGTGTTTGATTAGTGTGAGATTAAATTATTATTTTTTCCCCAAGTTGAGTCTGTTTTGCCCGGGACCTTAATTGGTGAAGATCCCTCCTTGTCCTTTGTCTCTGCCAAGGAGCTTTGTCCTCCTCATCCCAGAGTGTATGTGTGTGATGGGGGAGTTGAGTGAGCAGCCATGGGGCTGTTCCTTTTGTTGTTGTGTTGGGCCCAAAACCACAAGAATGGTGAGAAGTACTCTGTCCACATAAGTAAATGTCAGACCTAGGTTCAAGCCTTAAAGCAGTAACATTGCATGAAGTAACGTGTCCACATGGGCTTTCCCACCCATGGTGGAAAATGTCTCAGCTGTGTCCTTCATAAACCTTGTTTTGGCTTTTTTTTAATACCCCTTCAGGTTGAAGAGCTGAGCAATTTGTACATTATCTGTGTACAGGAGCATCTGGCCTGTCAGAAATGCTCTTTTGAAACAAAGAGGAATAGCACCATGTTAACCCTTCCTGTCCCAGTGCTGGATTCCAATTCTCACATGCTGAAGACTCTGGTAAGTTCAGTGGCAGCATTGTTCCCTCAGGAAGGAAATTCTGCTCTGTTCCTTGTGGGAGCCTTTTCCTTGCAGCACTGGTGTCTTCTGGAACTCATCTAGAATCTCTGCAAGAATATCTGCAGGGTGTGTGGGGTTTTGAGGAGTTCCTTTCTCAGTCACATTTCTTTGTTTTTAGGGGTTCTACATTTCTCAGAAATTGTATTTGATTTGAGGGCTGGAAAATAAAGTCCTTGAATTGCCTTTCTAAAAAGGGTATTGACTAAATACTTTGTAAGACTCAAAGACTTGTATTACACAGTGATGTGTACCTGTGAGAACTTAGATACTGCAGTGAGGTGCCCCAGATAACATGTAATGCCTGTCCAGACTCACTACATCTGTGCTGTACACTGTTCTTTTACTGCTAAGTCAGTACTGCTGTTGATATCCAGGTAGCAAGAGTGATGGTGGCTATGTAGGTGCTGCCACAAATAGAAAGTGGATTTTTCAGGTGACACATGGACCATAGGGCATTATTTATTCTCTGACCACCTTATACTGTTTCATCCTATAGGAACCTCTCTCAAAATGTGTAAGACTTTGAAGTTAGTATAAAAGACACTTGGGCATTGACATATTTATTTTTTTTTTTATGGAAAATGTGGTATTCTATGTTTTTTCTAGTGATCTAATCATGACAGTAGTTAGGAAAAAGGGGATACCCTTTTTTAAGTTGCTGGGCAATCTTTCATGCTTTGAATAAACATACCTTTAGCTCTGCTGTTTGCATGTACCCTGTACAAGAAACAGAAATGCATCTTGAAGGAATTCAGTTGAAAGAAATCTCTGTCTTCTTAGGAGGACTGCTTGGAATACTTTTTCCATCCAGAAGAGCTGACTGATTGCAACATGTGTTTCTGTGAACAGTGTGGAAGGAGAACACCTTTTTTGCAGGTAATCAGAATGATTTCCCTCCCTGAAAGTGTTCAAGGCCAGGCTGGATGAGGCTCTGAGCAACTTGATGTAGTGGGAAGTGTCCCTGCCAATGCAGAGGGGTTGGATCTGGGTATCTTTACGGTCCTTTCCAACCCAAACAATTCTAGGATATGTCTCTTATACCCAGAACTCCCTTTGGGACTGGGAAGAGTGGGGAAAGAACTCAACCATACCAGTTTAAGATGAGATCAACGACTCAAAGACTTACCAGCACAGCAACATCAGCTAGGTATAAACCACATGCATCTTTCCTGTTAGAAGGTTCCCCACTGTAGGTGTAGCTTTAACAACAAAATAATGCTGTCAGGGGTTTAAAGTAAGTCACCGAGGGATGTAATATTTCTGTACCAGTAGAAGAGCTTCTGTTGGTTTATGTTGTGTTTCCTTTGTGGGGCTTTACATTGCTGCATAACTCCAGGGATAGACAAGGATATGTTCCTGGAGCTGTGCATACACCTAAAAGTATGCTACTGTAGAGTGATTTCCTTTCTTCCTTGCTCTCCATTTTGCTCCCCGTTTTTTATGGTATTGGTTTCTGCCAGTCAATGAATTAGCTGTTTTATGAAGAGGCACATGAATTGAAAAGAGGTGTGTGAGGGAGACTGCCTCAGCTCAAGGCTTGGAGGGGATGTTCTACATCTTCTTCACCAGTGGGCAGCCTCCAAGACCACAGTGCACCCGAATGTCTTGGTGGTAGCCGTGGCAGCAGTAGTAATATCAGCAAAGGCAGTTCTGGAAGGAATGAGCTGTCAGCTTAGTGTCTTGCACAGAACTCTAGTGGCCACATGTCACAAGGAGTTGGCTTGCCTCTCCTCCCCAGCCTAGTGCTACCAAACTAGGATTAAGAAAGCAGATAAGAAACAAAGCAGTCTATGTGACACACCCAAGACTGGGTGCTGATCATGCTGGAATTGAGAAACATGGTTATCACAGCTCTACTATGTGTTTGTGTCTCGTGTGCAGATGAGCTATAAAGGTTTGGCATCTGGTGTCCAGTGGAATTGGCAGTTACTCACTGAAGCACTGACCTCTCTCCATCCTACGTTCACTGGGTGGCAATGGCTGTTTCCACCTCCTCCACAGGGTCAGTTCCTTAGTTTTCAATTGCATTATCTATTGCTTTACAGAGCATGAAGCTAGTCCATCTGCCACAGACTCTGACCATACACCTGAAGCGCTTCTGCTTTAGAACATCAGCTAAGGTTCACAAGCTTAGCCACCCAGTGCCATTCCCACAACACCTTGATTTCAATGCAGTCTTGACAGAAAATCAGTGCGAAGTGGATGGCAATGAAAAGGTAAGATACTCCTAATTCCCTGTTTAAAAAGGTCAGATTTTCACAATGTCTTAGAGGCAACCTCTGTCCTCTGGTTCAACCTCCAAGGTTAGACAGCCTCGGTCAGCAGCAGACCTACTGCTTTGCAGAAGTCACTAGTCCAAAACAGTGGAACTCCATTCCTGGCAGTTTTCCATGCAGTGTTGTTCACCACAGAGTTGAGGTCAGCAAGGAGATGACAGCTTTGCTAGGCAGGTAGGAGGGATCAGCCACACAATTGATCTGTTCCCCTTACTGAGAAATAACAAGGGAAAGTGTGGAAACAGCAAAACCTGGCTGTTGAAGTGTTGCCTGCAGTGTAACCTCCTTACTGCCCCTTTTCCTGTCCTACCTCCTTTTCCACACCCCTCTTATCTTCAGGGAGTCTTCCAGCCCATAGCTGGCAGGCAAAACACTGAGAATAGGAGAAAAAAGGTAGGATCCTCAAGGCAAATCTGATCTTTATCCTTTTTCCTTATGTGATGCACATTGTTGCTGTCCTGGTTGCTGCTTCCCTTCAACTAGTGGCAAATGAGAATTGCTGCACTGAAAGTTATTCTCTGTGCCTCTTCACAGGCTAGCTGGCAGTATGAGCTTTTTGCTGTTGTTGCTCATTCAGGATCAACTGATTCTGGACACTACTGTGCCTATATTCGAAGTCTCACAGAATTTAAATGGTATTGCTTCAACGATTCTCAGGTTTGCCAGGTGAGGAGACAAATCCACATTTATTTTATTTTTTTTTTAGCTTCCTGGACACTCCTCCAGCTCTCATACAGTCTGACTGACTGCTGGTTAAAGAGAACCAGGAAATAAAACTCAAGCTGCAGAGCCTTGTGCGCCTCATTCCCCTGCTAGAGCACACTCTGAGTTGAGGGCAAAGTGGCTCTAGCTCCTGTACCAAACAAGGCCTCAGGTTCTAGTTTGTAATTTACAGAAGCAGCCATTTGCTATGTACTTTGATTGATGTGCTCTAGAACTGTTTAATGTATGTGTTCAGAAGAGACAAAGGAGATGTTTTTCCTCAAAGGATAAAAGTGATGAAAAAGCAATTTATTAGAAGGTGTTTAGTTCTTGGAAGTACCACTCTGACGAGAATTGCTGTGCTGGTATCACAACGTGTTCATCTCTTTAAGAGTCTTCACCAGGGTCCCTTTGTGTGTTTTTCTTTAGGTATCATGGGATGATGTTAAATGCACCTATGGGCATTCCGACCTCCACTGGTAACCACACACATCTCTGTTTCTACCAAATGCTGCTCTGGGGTTTGGAATGAGGGAATTTGTATTGTCTTGGGATGTATCTGGGATACAGATAGGGGAGTAGAAGAGGCATCCCTGTATTGTGGTTATTCTGATGTGACTGTACATGTCTATTCCAGTAGCCTGAAGGATTATGGAGGAGTCACAAAAGGGACTACAGGAGTGGTCTTGTTACTTTTGATTGCACCCTGGACCTATATCCTGTCTGAAGTTAGATACAGGATAGATACAGTCAGGATTCTTCTATGATTTTTATTTTGATGCATTATAAGAAAATGAACCATGGAGAGAGAGATACTGCCTCCTATAAGCTTGAGTGCTGTCTGAGGGTCAGCTTTATATGCTGCCTCAGGAACACTGAAGAGGGCCAGCATCAATAAGCTGAGCAGGACCAAACCTGGGAGGTTACTTGTAACCTAAATCTTCAAACATACATCTTGTTTTGCTTTTTCTTTGCTTCCACAGGGGAGAAACAGCCTATCTCTTGATTTACATGAAAAAACATCCTAAGTAGCCTTATCCAGGAGTATCCGAATGTCTGAGGAAGCCATACATTGTCCATGGAGTTCAGCACCTCTCTACCAGTGTGGATGTGTAGAAATGTTCCACAAAGAAGGACACTAGGCACTACGTCAGCAACTTCTACCTTTTACATTTATTTATGAAAAAAGTGCAGTAGAGACTCAACGAGAGAAGGAAACTTAGAACTGTTGCACTTAGAAAATTTTTCCTCCATATATTTTTGGTATTTATGTGATTCTAGATACTAAATTCCCCCTAAAATACTGTAAAATTAGTCCTTGTTTCTGCTGACTTACTAGTTTCGTTAATGCTGATACCATGTGTTGCAGTACAGGGGAAGCATTTTGCCTGAAAGCCTCCCTGATGTTCCAAGGAAACTGGTGGTATGGCTGGAGAGCTGTGATAGCCATACCTAGTCAGGAAGGCTGTAAGAGCTTGAGACTTTGCCCTTTTAGTGCCATGTTAGATGCTGGCAATCTCTCCTGGACACTCCAAAATTCTTGAGAAACAGCTGGAACAAGGATCAGGCCACTCATGACACATGCATCAGTGATGTTTGCTTCTTAAAACCTTTGTGAAAATGAATGTTGAGATGTGCTTGAAAGGGGGTGTCAGCATGAAGACGTACTTTAAAATCAGGAGCTATCATAGTAGTTCTGATTTACACAATGAGTTTGTATATATTTATGCAGATCATAAATGTTTTGGCATGGTTATCTGGCATTTAGATGCATATTCTTTCCTGTATATTCCAAGCAACAGAGATTCTGAAGCTACCTAGTGATTTGCATAACACACTCCATACACTGGTATGAGAAGTGAGATGCCTTAATATTCCTGAACTTCTGGGATTTTCCTTTGGTACTCTTGAGCAGGTGTCACACTCCAGTCCTAGCTGCAACATTTACTTTTAAAAGAGAGCTTACTGAAGGTAAAAAAAAATAATCAGTAAAAGGAAAAGTGGCTTCATCCTGGTTCAAAACAGGACAGCAGGTTTCCAGCTGGAGTTGTCATGCTCCCTCTTTCTTCTCTGTCCATGAACTGGACATGTCCTTCAAGCAGAACATGATCGGGAGAGAATAATTTTCTCATGAAAGTGAGTAATTTTTAAATCTCATGTTGAGTCCAGTGACTCTTTGCTGTTGGTTCAGCTTGTGCTCCCATGGCAAGAACACACAGTGGGAGCGAAACGAGAGAGCTAGAAAGGAAGGTTGGTCACATGTGACAAGCAGAAGAGCAGTGTTCTAAAAGGCCATCCCAAGACTCAACTGTGAGGAAAGTTAAAATCTTTGGTTGTGATGTAAAGCACTCATTGTGGTAAGTCTTGGTCTACCACAGTCTGCGAGAGGATCAGTGGTTCCAGTAGTTCAGGATCTAAAAGTATCTCCTAGCCTCACATATTAGTCTAGGGTGCTATTTTGTGTGGGACTGAGTGCATTTTTAAAATGACTAATTTAGTTATAATGGCATCTGTATATAACCTAATTTTATTTTTGAACTGATGATGAAGTTCTCATGTCTGCTTTCTGTTATGTGAAAGGTGAATTGTGAGAACTTGGAGCACAGCTGTGAAATTACATTTTTATGAGCTAGCAGGTTTTTATTTCACTGTACTAGCAAGGTCCACCATCCTGGTGGTGGGGATGAACTTGCCTGACCTCTGCCACCAGCACAGCTGGATTATTGAGCATTTCTGTAAGCATGTTGTTGTCTTGTGTGCTTCCAGTCAGAGGCAGCGACACGGTTTAGGCCCAGCCTGCAACACAGAACCACTGGGACTGCTCGTTCACTGCTCCCCACCACTGTGGGGTGGTCAGGAGAAAAATAGAACGAAATGCTGGTGAGTCGAGACAGGACAGGGAGGCTTCGCTCAACCAGTTATGGTCACAGGCAAAACAGACTCGACTTGGGGAAAAAATAAATTTGTCACCAAATCAGAGTGGGACAACAAAGAACAAAAACAGATCTTAAATACCTTCCCCTACCCCTCCCTTCTTCCTGGCCCCAAATTACTTTGCTCTGCTTTCTCTACCTCTTCCCCTGCAGTGGCACAGGGGGACAGGGAATGGGGGTTGTGAACAATTTGTCACATGTTGCCTCTGCTGCCCCTCCTCTGGGAGTATGACTCCTCACACTTTTCCCCTGCTCCAGCAGGGGGTCCCTCCGAAAGGATAAGGTCCTTCACAAATTTCTCTGACATGTCAGAGTCCCCCCCATGGGGTGCAGTCCATCAGGAACAGACTGCTCCAGCATAGGCTGCCCACAGAATCACGGCCTGCTCTGGAAGAAGCCACCTCCCCTGGCATGGGGTCCTGCACAGCTGCAGGTCCACATCTGCTCCACCGTGGTCCTTCACAGACTATTCCACAGTGCTCCCCCACGGGCTGCAGGGGACAACTGCCCTCTCACCATGGGCTGGCTGCAGGGTAGCCTCTACTTGGGCACCTTCTCCCTCTTCTTCCTCACTGACCTTGTTATCTCTGCTCAGGTATTGTTCTCAACTCTTCCTCTGCTCTCCCCTGCAGGTCCTTTAGCAGTTTCCATTTCTTAATATGTTACTCTCAGAGGTTATCACTGTTGCTGATGGGCTTGGGCTTGGCCAGAGGCAGGTCTGGCTTTTTTTGGAGCTGGGGGTCTCCAGCAGCTTCTCACAGGAGCCACCCCGTGGCCCCTCCACTGCTACCAAAGCCCTGACACACAGACTCAACACAGGCAATCAGGTCCCAGACATGATGTAGCCAGAGGTCTACACAGAACATACACCTTAAATACTGGAAGCTCCAATGAGGTATTTCTAGCAATTCAGGCTCCTTGGGGCCACTTTTAGAATTAGGTTCACAAACACTGAGACTGATCCCAGTTTTCCTTTCAATGGAAGGCTACAACACAAAGACCAAAAGTCTCTGAGGTCTAGACAGCTGAAGTGTGAAATGCTTTAACTGTCCTGTTGTAAGCACTGAATTTATCTACATAATGAAAATAAGGACTGAGACTGATCCTGGATCCTCTGAAAAACTGCTCTGTCTGTGAGGTGTGTGGAAAGAAACATACAGAACCTGCTTTTGAAAAAGAACAAGGATTGTACTCTGTAAAAAACACAGCCCTCCCTTTCACCCCTCAGGCAGCAGAGCAAGGGATGCAGGTGGGAGGCTACTGACCACACGCACAGACGTGTTACCCTCAGAAGATGTATTCTGGTGAGACATAATGCTTATGTTCAACTCGTAACAGCTGAGGAAATGAGGCTAAACCTTCCCAGAGGCTGGCTACGGAAAGGCGTATCTAGATAATCTCTACCTTAACTCACAACACCGTTGTAGAGCTGCTGCAAAGGATTATTTACCCTGTGTTTGAGCCACTGTGCAAATGAAGCCTGGCATTTGTAACTGCCTGGCATTTGGCTTTGAAAAAGCAGATAAAGCCAGGACTACGTGTGTGGAGAGATTATTGTAGGTCCTGGTAACTCTTCCTCTCTTTCTTTTGTTTGTTTTGAGATTATCATGTCCTAAGGGAAGGAGTCTGTGAGATAGAGCAGTAGCAAAATACACAGATTCTCTGCTTCATCTTTGTCAGATTTACCTTCAAATTCCATATTCCCCACCTTCAAGAAATGCAGAAAAAAAAAAAAGGAAATATATATAGATAATATATTTATCACACACACTTATAACATCTGAAATTTAAATATGTTGTAAATCCTAAAATTATACATGAAAGTAAAAGAGAGAATTTTTTTCATACTTTACTTCCAGTATCGTTTTAATTTACAGGAGTCACTTATCAACTAGGTATCATTGATATTTACACAAAAATGCTATACTGAAGTTCTACACTTAAAAAAGATCTTCAGAAAAGGACCTATCCTAATTCAGATTAAAAAGCACAAGTTGATAAGACAGAAGTTAAAAAATGTGCAAATCACATTAGGACTTTACTGATAATTTTAATAATAATGGCTTTACTGATAATTTTGTGGATCACAATGATCTGTTGAGTCTGATAGACTCCAAAACTGAATCCTCTGATCATATTCCTGCAGGAGAATGGCTGTAGTTTTAAGTAATCAAAGGCATCTTCTTTGCACAGGTTAGACCTTGGCTAAGCAGGTTCTCTCAATGGCTGTTGCTGCCTTGTTTGCCCCTGGGGACAGCCTCAGTTTTTGCCCTCCTGGCAGCCAGCCAACACTGGCCCTTTGCTGGCCCCCAGTGTTTCCTACAGCATTACCTTTTCAGTCCTTAAAGCCAGGTTTCTGATCCTGCCCTGACGGAAGCATCCTTTTCCCAGAGAAATTTTGATTATGACAAGGTGGGACCGGCTTCACCGGTAACATCCGGGCTGGTATTTTCTCAGCTAACACAACTTGGACTTGAAGCTGTTAGGAAAGTGCTGCCTTCCCCCTGCTCACAAGTGCAAGCAGAAACCTCAGGCAATCTTTTAAAGGTGTTTTATGAAGCAATTAGTTTTCAGAAGAGAGCTATTTAGCTCTGAATCTGTGCTGTTTCCTACTTGGCTGGCTTATATTTTACCAGCTTCAAGTCATCAGGCTCAGCACTGTTTGCACCTGCCTGTGGAAATGTGCTAAGGAGTCACTGCCACTTTTGACAGCTTCATAGGTAACAAAATTTTCTGACCTATGTGAAGCCAAGAAGCTGGAAGATAAATGCTTCTGAGCTAAATCTATCTGGATTTTTTTAAAAAACCAAAAAGTTGTAAGTGCTTTGAAAAACTAAACAAGGACTTAAAGTCAAAGTGAACAAGGACATTCACAGAGTAAGGGTGCTCTGAGTTAATGACTGTTTTCCTGAAATAGACTAATGAGTGAAATTTCAGCAGCTGGTGGGATGCAGTTTGGTTCAGTATGAAACCATGCTTTGCTGTGTGAGGGATGGCAGAAGCAGCGAGTGGGATAACCCTCTCCATGTCTGCCTTTGTGGTGGGCAGAGTGGACATGTTTTGGTTTAGTGGTCACACAAACCAGAGGGCAGAACTGCTCTCTATTACCCCCCGCTCTCCCC